TATGCATTCTGTCCTTTATCCACCTGGGCAAAGATGTTTCCTATTGTTGTTCTATTATGGATTTCCAGTTTGATTTCCTTATGGTCAGAGAATACTCTGTGCTTTCATTTTCTGAAATTGTTCACCTTATGCATTGTATCGGACACTATTCTGAGGGGATCCAGAGGGTTTTCGTTGGCTAATTGTCAGTACTAGATCACCAGGCCTTTGTTCCTTGTCTTTACTCATCTGGAAGCTTTCCTAAAATATATCCACTATGGGTGACCCTGTTGTTTTTTGTTATACCTCTAAGCCTAGTTTCCAGTACCACAGTAACACATAAACATTAGAATATAACAAAGATACAGGCAGACATTGGAATTCATTAGAGCTTAAAATGTATTGGTAGAAGGAGTGAAGGAAGAGAGAACCCTTTTCACTATTTGGCACTTCGCTGTTGTTGGAGAGTTACAGATAGGTGCAACTTCATGCCACTGTGAAAGATGTCAGATCTCTGAAAAAATGTACACCTAACTAAAAAACTCCTAGCCATCTTGCTTAAGATAAAAAAGGCTTCCATTAACATTAATTTGTGTAATGAAATCTCAAACTATTTTTTCATGCCTCTAATGTTGCTTGAGCCAGTAACCAAAATCTACAGAGAACACAATGAATTAGAATGTGACTTAAAATCAAGAGTGAAAGAGTCATCAATCACAAGGAGCAATCAATTGTGGAAGAGAAATGTTTGAAATGCCCTAGAAAAGCTGCTTGTTGACAGACATATAATCTAGTAACTAATGTTTCATTGGCTTTGTAGGCCATGGAGCAAATCAAGAGCTCAAGTCATATAAGAAAACAATTTAATTTTAGACTTCTCTCCACAACCTTGATTTTCTGGAACTTCAACTTTGTGTTTTATCTTAATTTTTCTTTCTTTTTTTTGAAACTATTGTGAATTAGATGAAAGTTTGTAGAGCAGATTATTAGTTTTACATTCAATCCTCATATGCATTATGATTCAACTCATCCCTTGCAACCCCCTCAATGTCTCATCAATTATCACACTTCCCCCCTGTGTTAACTCGTTCCCACTATTCTTCTTTCCTAACCCTCTATTTTGTCCTTATGTAAATGGTGCTCTAAATGGTTAATTATTGTAACATGGTGGGGAGTTCTGTTTCAAATCTGATGAGGGCCATACTGTTGGGATTTCTTCAGTCTCTATCTAATCAGAAAGCCTGGTCAATTCAGGATTTGGGGTTTTGTCCAAAAATTTTCTCCCATTCAATTCAAGATCTTGTAATTCATCCTTTTTAGAGCAGTTGCTAGTGGTGCGTGGCACCATCTAGTTCTTCTGGTCTGAAGGTTGTAGAGACTGGGCTTTGCATGATTCATTAATCCACTGGACTATTTGCATCCGTATTTCCTTCAATTTTCATTACTCTTCTTTAC